CGATTCAAGTTTAATAGTTATATTATTATAATTTTAAGAAAATAGAAAACTTGAAAGCCCAAAGAATTATTTTTCTGTCATGTCATGAGTTTAACTTGCGTGCTCAATATATTTCCAGTAACAATTGTAAATGTAAAATAACTTATGGTCGGTATTGCGAATAAAAGGTATTTTCGCCTAAGGAACTACCATTGTAATATATCCCTAAGTACCTGCTCCAGTGATCCATCAGTCTGTGTGTTCTAACAACAATGATAAGATTTTAAAACCGAGCACACTTGATAATTCCAATCCACTTAAATGCTATAGGAATATTTCTCAATCTGGTTTGGAGCTCGAATAACTCATCCCCGAGTATGAATTGGAGCTGGCAGATAAGGAGTGACTCTCGAACTGGCTTAAGGACCGAGTAACTCCTCCACGCTTTTGTTCTGACTGTATTTTTGTTTAGCATGTGGAATGCCCAGCATAACAGTGAAAAAGTTACCTTGAGGTACTTGCAGCCATATTTTTCCATTGATTATCTCTTTCGCTCGATAAATCCACACCAAGAAGTCTTCGCTATTTCTAACAGTTGGACAGTATTTGCCGGAAGGCCTTATGTCCGCCATGTTTGTTGTTACCGCCAGAGAACTAGGACTAAATGTCATCTTCACGCCTTAATTTCGGTCTCGGTGAGGCGCATGACGCACCAACGGTCTGATAGGCCAGGTAAAACAAACCTTAGATTCTGTTCAGAAATATGCAATAACTTTCATTTCTTAGCTTAGAAACTCAAGAATAAAGAAAAAAATGGTAAGCATTTTTCTTGCAAATTTACTTGTTAAGGTTTCCTCTGAGGGTCAATGCCAAAAGTTGACCATAGATCGCTAGCGAGTAAGTAAAAGTAGTGGGAATGGGAAGTTAATGTTTCAGGTTGAGAGGGGGATTAATCTAACAAATGAAGTTCTATTGATGCGTCTGGAGTGGAATAGAACTAGCGAGGCTGACGCATATTGAAGGTAGCTAAATTCGTGGAGGACATATTTTCTCATTTTAGTTTCAGAGGCTTTGTCTGATTTCTATTCATCGGGTTAACAAAAGAACCTTAGATTATACATATTCCGGTTGTAAGACGCTTTTATTCCCATGCCATTTATTAATAGCTTTAGTTTCAGCCTCGATTCATACGATACAGATGCATGCAGCTACATGATAGCGCCATGAATATCATGCAGAACGTCACAGTTGGGGTATAAAGATGGGTGTACTCGTCAAACAAATAATCAAGCTTATAAAACTGTTTTGATGTGGTCGGATGTCATCAATCAAATTATGGAGGTGAAAAGTGAATAGTGCATTGTCTTCCTCTTACACTTGAATACTGATGAACTTTGTAAGAGCACGAAACTGTTCCTGAGCTGCACTACACTCCTGGAAGTTAACATTTTACCTGAGGTCGCAGTGGAGTTTGCTTTCTCAGTATTACTGAGACTTTTAAATTGTTAAATGCGATATGTCAGCTTTAATGGGTTCTTTTTCACGTCAAAATGGGAACAAATGCTCTTTTAAGGTTCTTCTGTGGTTTTAGATGAGCCGGAAATAATTTTCAAAACGGAAAGCACTGATTATTTATGAGATTTTTTATTACTGGATTACTTGTTAAACAAGATTAAACTGAAAAACTTGGTGCGAAACATATAACAACTTTGGGTCCAATAAATACTTTTTTTCGGATTGTGAGGTGATAATAATGCGTTCCTACAGATGCATAAATTACCAAGAAGGTCTTAGAATAACCCATGCGCCTGCCCAGGTTCTTCCATTGGCAGAATCTCATTAACCGATCACCAATAAAACTAACTTACAATCCATCGCTATAAGTCAATATTAATCTCCTACTGTATCTTTATACTGTTTCGTATTCTTTTATTGCAGATTGCATCTTGTCACCATCTTTGGTCGATAGGAACAAATCTTGGTTGTCATTTAGTATTCGTGAGCGGCGCTGTCCAACGAAAATTTGAAATTTTTTTGTTTTCTTTAATCTTAAAATCATATAAAGCATGCATCGGCAGAAAGGAAACACTCTAAGAACTTCTGTCGTCAGAAGTCTAATTAAATTATACTTGATTCTTCGGATAAAACTTTCACGCGCAGATTTACAAGCAACGGGATTAATGTCCTGATTTAACGCTGATTATTTTATTTTTATTTTTAGCTAAATCGAGGCAAATGTTTATATTGCTATAAATTGATCCCGAGGAAAATCTTAAATTAAATCATTTTGAGAGGAATGCTTTCGTGCAGAATTAATATCATTTTCACTTTGCATCGAGAAAGTAGTGTCCATAAAAGAGAGCTGAAGCTTTTTAGGACACAGATTCTTCAAGCTGAGGGAAATTTGCGAGAGTACCCATACGCTTACACAAATTAAAATTAAATCAAAGTTAACTTTAATCAATCTTAGAAGCTTTATAAGACTATGTACATTGCCCACGGATGCGACATTGACTTCCGGAACGATACTTGCTGTGTGTGATCTTTACCTTTAAAGCTGCGGTTATACCCGTGAGGTTTGGGTGATTTATCTTGGAGTAAGACGATAATAATAGAGTATTAAGTTCTTTCTATCGCAAAGTTGTCGCATTTAACGCAAATGGCGAGTTTACCATTATATAACGACAGTCTTCTTCAGGTGATGAATGTCACTGACTACACATCTCCTTGTCAAGCTTGATTGTTTGGTTTTCAATTGCTGTGACTGATGCATGTCGATCCTCTCTGTTTTGCCAAGCTGCTCTCCCGCTGGTTGGCGTAGTACTCTCTTTCTATCATACGTCTTCATTTGAAGAGTTTTTTGTAGTGTAATTCATATACAGATTAGGATTTCATTCCTTTTGAAAAATTGCGAAAATTAAAAGCACTGTCAAGATAGCTTTTTCTGGTAATTCCTAAGAACCATCGCCAATAAGTGTTGAGATATTGTGATGCCTATATTTCACCGTTGAAATGATTTGTCTCATCCAACTGCGATTGTAAATGTTGCGGTTTGGCACAATTTTTCAGAAGCAATGTTGACATTACCGAGGTTAAAACATACTCTGCTTTTTGAATCAAAATATTCTATTTAACCTACCGACGACATGTGTTACAAGAAGTAACGAGAACTTTACAATTTCTAGACCAGGAAAAAGGGGTTAGTAAAGGTTCACTAACAATAACAACCAATAACAACCAACAAACATATTTTTAATAGACTTTTCTCCACTATTGCGACCGCCGTTCCAAAACTGGCCAATTATGAACGAAAGGTGTCTTCGACGTAAGAAAATGTACGATTCAGGTAGCGCTACCATAGATCACCACGACCCATACTGTCACATAAAAAAAAACAATTTACTATTAAAGTTTAGTTGTTAACTTTTCAGCCACCGTTTTTGATGAAGGGTTTATTACTGTTCACTTTGTTATCGTTCTCTGTTAAAAAAAAAAATCCTTGTCTAATCCCACTGGAGACTGATCTCAGGTGATAAATTTAATATACATCCCTAGTATGAAGGTATGGTAGTTGAGCCGAAAACTCTAATGTTTCTTTTATTGACATCTATGGTTGAGGACTGGTGCAATCAATGAGGTGCCGTAATCTGATATTCCACATACAGAGACAGCAAAAATTAATTAATGCAAGTCCAGTTTTGTCACATAAGGTCTCACAAGTCAACTTATATATTGCATGAGCGAGGCCGTGAATGTAATCTCTTGGCATGACTTAAACTCTTTAATTTGAATTTTAATGCCGTAAAGTATTTACAAGACATGACCAAATAAATTTTTTTTGGCAAAGTTACGAGGACTAGACCGTATGAAACAAATACGAATCCAAAGATAAGATCATTAGCTGATGATTACATTTTAAATTAAAATGCAAAAGATCACAGTATTCAGACTTTCGTAAAATTCGGTGAAAATTTATTTCTTTGAGATTAATGAACATACTGTGCCATGGAACAGGAAATCATAACTTTAAATGAAGGCATCTCATACAGATAGGTCCTATACTACAAACTGACGGTATTTTAGCAGACAAACTGGATTTCTGAGATTCATCTGGAATCGTTAGGCGGCAGTAATTCCATTATCAAGCCATAGAAGTTCAATTTCAACTATTATGGGTGTCATGACTCCTACTTGGACTAAACCTTACAGTTGATAATTGAAGTGATGAACTGAGCTCAGGGTAAAGAGGAAAGTCGTCTTCAATGAATTGCCTCTGAGGAGGATAATATTGCCAATGAGTGATGAGTAAACTAATTGGATAAGAGATTGCCGTGATACCAGTTATCAGCTAAAGGCTTTTTTTTCCACAAAAATTAAATACTGAGGAAAGAAAAGTCATATCCAATGCAATTTCCTTTGGAAACGAAGGAAATACCATGATACAAATGATGATCGATTTAAGACTTTCAGGCGCACAAGCAATTTTTATTTTGGCCATCCACCTGATCTCGGAAACATTCATCGAGGGATATGTAACTTACGCTGAGTGTGAGTAACAGTAACTCAGAAATTTGGAAATAACAGAGAGAGGATATCTCCAAAAATGCTTTGTTATCTCGATGTTTCCGTTCTAAGGGAATGACATGCAGACGATGCCGGAGACATCAACATTTTTTGATCAACATTTTCCTTACTTTGCCACCATCTATCACTTAAAAAACTAGGTTTGGTTAGAATTATTTGTCCAGGAAGGTTAGTTAGAAACGTGGGAAATTGCGAATATTTATGGTCTCTTGCATCATCCTCTTCTGAACTTATCACATCACTAAGATAACGGATCCGTTATCCCATGCAGAGGGATTGATCGCACACATTAACAGAATTATATGGCTCTAACAAAGAATGCGTGGAAGTCAGTCGGAAGAATTACTGGGGTGTTAGAGGAATGTAAGAGAAACACCGTGTAGCTGGTGTAGCTGTGCGTGTGAATCAAATGTAATATGCATTCTTAACACTCAAAGTTATTCAAAATACCTCTATTTAATTAACTGAAGAATTTCCTTGCAACACGATATTAGTATTCCGGGGTATCGACTGGCTTAACCTCTCCCTTTGCATTTCCTAGTTAATAGTCTGCACTGTTTCCTGTGGCTGGGATCATTAGTGCCGCTCGTGGCTCCTACTCTAACCTCGCCGGTAATCCTAAAAAGGGATTAACCTCAAATATATGTGCAACCAACTAAATCTTTTCTGAAAATATCATTTAAGACATATTTCGGTTCTTTCTAACTAGATATTAGTACCAACGTGATGATAATGAACTTATATTGTGCTGAAGCCCCCGACAAGCTAACCATAAAACGTAAGAACATCCAGAAAAAGACTGACTCGTCTATATTTAGGCAAAAGACAACTCCTGTGATTTCTGTTGCAAAAAATAAGTAGACTTTTTCCGAACAATGTAATACAAGCCTAATGAGAAAAAAATGAAAGCTAGGAGTTTTGAAGTGTAATGCAATGGAAAGTAAACCCATTGTAAATTGACTTAAGTTCATTTACTAAACAAACTGTTGATGAGTAACTTCACTCTGTTGATGACTTCTGACTTCTTTTGGAAACGTTTAACTCTTTACCGACAACCGTTCTTTCCGGAAGATGACCTAAGTTATAGCAATACTTATGAAATGGAACACAACGTTTTCCAATACTCCTGTGCAGTTTTAATGAAAATGTATTCTATCTACAAAACTTTGATTCAATTCATTCGTTTTTTCCAACGTTACTTGCAAAACTAAACTGACAAAACTTAACTAAAACACTCTTTGGAAGTTTAAGTTTCGTTGCTCTTCACGCGAGAATCGTGCATATGAAGTTTTTAACGTTTTTCACAATCCATGATAATCATTAGTCTCTAAAGGTAAAAATTCTCCTTATTCGCACAGGGAATACTGCGAAGTTGAAACGCCCAAATCGGTCCTTATACATACGATTTATCCCATTGTCTTAACCCAGAATATTGCCCACAATGTTAGCTTCTGAAAAAATATTTATCAATCAATAGACCGGTTTACTGTTGTAAGAACCCTTTTGGAATGTTTGGCAAACACCCGAAAAGCTAGTTAATCTTTCGACTAACAAAAAGCGATAGAGTTTTGTTATTAATCAGAGCTTGTAACATATCCCAGTTGGGAAATTATACACCAGAAATAATCCAAGAATATTTTGATTTCATAAAAAAATTTAGACCGTCCTTTTTGAAGTCTTCAGAAAAATGTTTCCTCGAGTCTGGCAAAATCAACTTCAGCGATTAGTTTTCGTATTTCCTCATCAACAAATTCACTCAGGGAACGATGCTTAAAGAAGTTTTTACGCTACCCTCTGCCACTTATACTTCTAGAACTCCCCAACTCATTTTGCCAGTCTTTCCCTCAGTCCATTTGTTTAAGTACTGTTTCGAGCACTTCAGCCAAAAGGCGACACTATACTAAGATTGTCAGAGGTTCCATCTAACAATAACGAAAAAGTCATTTTTGAAAAGGAACAGTCTTAATCTATGAAATATACCACCCTTTGACCGCGCTCAAACTGTGTAATTGTTTTCTTTTACAGTTCAAAAGGAGTTTTGTTACATGTTTCGCGTAGCATCTCATTATTTATGAAAAATTTAATTCGTCAAAATGCTAACGACGACTGTGCTTAGCACCAACAAAAGTTTACTTAACAAGCTGGCTGCACTGTTTCGGTAAAGGTATTCAACATTCTCCGTGTTTACATCAGAACCATTTCCACTTCTGTTGTGGGTTGTTTGACGGCCAGGATCGCGATCAGTTCGCCTTCTGGTGGTACTTTCCTTTCTCTTGGTTGGCAACGTCCCAATAGAGAACACAATGCCAATTCGGGTGGTTGGACGAGTTGTTGGGCGAGTTGTAGGAGGTACAAATTTAAATTTGTACGATGTGCATTCGATAAGTGGTACTTGGAATGACGTTGCTCTCCTCGAGGGAGTAGAGGGGTCGGAACCATCACTAGCTCGTTGTCCCACATAAAGAAGTCTATTGTCTCGATGATCAGTGTCCATCTTCAGGAGATCGTACTCGGTGTTCGGGAGTGAAATGCCGTACAATTTACAACCTTGAGTTTGTGTGATATCTTGCTTGACGTTTGTCTTCCAAGTTCCAGTTTTGCCACATGTATTAGGTGTAGCGGTGTTCAACATTCGCGTAGTGATCTTATCCAATGGCCTAATGGCTGCCTCTGTCATGGTGAACACGTATTCAGAAGCCCCATTCACCGCTTTGGAAGGTATTGCATACGAAAAGTGTCCTTTCCCATTCAGTTCAAAGTCACGCTTTTTGCATTCTGAATCCACATAGAAATAATAATTACATTCCCATTTACGTGAACTTTGATTGTTAGTGAATTTGAAGTGACGCGTCAAGAATGCGCCTCCTGGGATTGCCTCACAAGTTGTGCTTGCCCACTCTCCTTCTAATAACCCAAGACGAGGTGGTTTCCAAACAAACTTTGGTGGACGCGCTCCAGTGCCCAATCGAATTTTTATACATTTGGTACAATTATGAGAATTGTACCTAATCAGTGGGAGCTGGTAAGAATTGGGCTTGTACTTTCTAGAAACTCTTGTGGTGGGGACCTCACCAAAATACAGCTTATCATATTTAGAGCTTTTCTTTCTCCGAGTTTCGAGCTTTAATCCAGAAAATTCCGATTCCAAGAATCCAAATGCGTTCCTACAAGCTCGTCGTCTAAATGCTCTATTATCTACTTCAAAAACATCAGTAGAGTCTAGGCTTCTCACAACCTCCAGCGTATTCGGACAATGCCCGGCTGACGTATTGATAACCATCTCCTGCTCGTAGCCGTTGTGCGGGTAGAGCTGTATCGTTGAGAAGTTGAAGAATGCCTTGTTACTGCCCTTTATGGTTTCCAAAGGTTCGTCCATTACCTTGTAAAATCCTCTCATGTAAAGACTTAACTTGGGTTCGGAACATTGTGAGTCGTTATAGCGATGGAAATAACCTTCCCACGTGGAGTTCCGTAAGATCTTGATATACCGTGTAAAAAACTGTGGACCAGGTCTTACCTCACAGCTTAAAGTAAAACAGAAATAACCAACAAATTACCAACATGTCGCTTAAATTACAGTTACGCTGCGTTAAGAAAAGGCTATATATCCACTTTCCTGGATCAACACGTCAATATTAGCTTATTCGCCAGAAATTAGTTCGTTGATAGTTGCAAAAATCAGCTACCAATCGGTATATGTGACCATATGGTTCAAATGGCTTTAACCACAGTGTTCTTCGGCTCAATCATTTTTTATCTTCGAGATAAGGACACATAGTAATAGGATACTAGATTATAGTTCAAATAAAAGTAGCTGACAATCTTGCGTGGTCTAAAGTATAAAATTGTAATGAGGTTTTCTTCAAATTAAAAATCTCACCCATGATATTCTATTTTTCTAAAAACCCGACCCCTTGTGTGGGAGTGAGCCCGACCCCTTGTGTGGGAGTGAGCTATTAGCGGAAATAAAAATCGTAACACGATTTAAGGGGTATGTGACTCGAATCCGCAAAATTGATAATAATCACAAGTCAGTAGAAGTCTTGCCTGTGTTCCAACCAAGCCGGCTCAGTCATTTATCCTACTCAAGAAAACAATGACAAAATGCTAGCTGATAATATCAGAGTTTACTTATCTCCATTTAGAGCCAAAAGCTTCAAACACAGTAAGAACGATTTATGCGGTCATATAATATCAACACGCTTGTGTCATAGACCATATTCCTCGCACTTCTTTGAATTAATTTTGAGATGATGATTTTAGAGAGGTAAAGGAACGAAAGAGTGGCTATCCATCAATTCTACACTGAGACTCATTTAGCGGTACTTGAATTTTTGAAGTATGGTTTACAATCAGTTCCTAAAGGGGCTTGAAGACTCTTTCACTGCTTCAAGAGATGTGTTTTGCAGATGAAGCAAAGCTAGTCGAAATTGAATAAAAAAAACTCTTGTACTACAAAAAAAAAACTTCCGTTGAAATTTAGGGGTGCTTTGGAGGTATTTTCGGGAACAAGTCTGTACACGTTCAATTGCGATCACGAAAGTAGGATTTACCAGTTTTTAATAACTTGGCAATAGCAATGGATGCAATGTCTTGCCATAGAGAAAAATGCAACCCGTAAACCTATCCGACTCTATCAATCAGCCAACATGGAAAAATCTCAAATACACTTGTATAGTACCGTGTGCGCTGCGTGATCCAGACACCCTGGTCGTTATTCGCATGGTTTAATGAAATTTAGAGCTTATCCTAATCACTTATTTAGAATAGAATGAAGCATTCTTTCTTATCTGAAAAATATCGTGTGATGAACAACTCTTACACGGAAATTCTTAAAACGAAAGTAATTCTAATGGAGAAGATTTTTTTCTTCTACACCTCTTTTTGGCAGAACGTTTAGCAGTCGTTATTTCAGTTCTTCAGGCACATCGTGCAACGCTTGGATATCGATGTCATGACTCTGGCTACAAAAAGGCTACAAGAGTGTCAATATCGTATTTTGCGTTTTAATATCTTAAAACGCTTAAGAGCTTTATTGCCTGAGACCTTATCTTAAGTAGAGACAATTTACACATTAAAGTTTCTCGGTTATCTATATGTTCCTGAGTTCGTCGCGGATAGTTATCTAAAGCCTCCCATTGTTGTCTTGGAAAGACACGCATCTTAAACCTTGTTGGTGATTTAGTTGGAATAACTGAATCAAAAATTTCAATAAAGCACTTGAGAGAAAGTAACCGTAAGACATCATGGCCTCACGGGGTGTCCGCTTTTATAATGAGCTTTTATTAGACATAAACACAACTCAAAACAACATCAATATCACTTACAGGCTCGTTTAGCCAGGTTTCGGGCTTTGGCTTAGACAGGAAATTTACTCTTTTTAAAGATATGTGTTTAGATACAACAAAAAGGTTAGTATGAATTACTGGGCCAGCTGCCAACACAAATTTGAGCTCTTGACAGGACAGGAAATTTAGTGTGGGTCACGTGCGTAGCATGGGTCCTGTTTAATACAATATGGAAGTAAATGAATGACTGAAGGACAACGATGGGGTTCTTAAATCACATAACATATTTGGAGAAAAATCTGCTTTCTTCTAAGAGTATTTATCAAATGTTGTCGCATTGGTACTATTGACCACGCAAGAAAAGATATCTTTTGTTCTGCACAAGGTCCTAGCGTAATTTGTTCGTGCGTGTAATTGTCTTTCATAGGATCACAATGACCGAGACGTGAAGTTTCCAATAATTATTACTTTTCGCATTAATATTGTTTCGACTAAATCTCGCCTTTGCGATAACCCAGGGAAAGAAAAGAAAAAAAAATCCAGTCCATTAAGCTCATGGAAAGTGACATGTTTTGACCTTTGATCTGATTCTATTTTGGATTGAGTTTGAAACAAAACAAAGCCTTCGTTGCATTCCACTTAAAATTGTTTTGTAGCTAATAAAATTCACACGGTAAATTGTATAATGACGGAATAAAGGCCTAGCCTATCTTGAAATAAAAAACAAATTAAATTTCTGTGAGGTATGAAAAAATTGGCATTATACTACCATACTTTTTAAAATATGAACTGGCTTCAAGTGGACCTCGCCCTAATTTTCAACAAAAATGAAAGAGTTTCCGTTGTTAGCATTCCAAGATACCCACATTACCAATGATGAATAAAAGAGCACAAAGTAATGGCGCTTGAAACTGTCGAAGCCATTTGGCCACCAATAAACAACGTCAAGAGTGAAGTTCATTTAAGTGCACCGTTACTAGTGCATATGATGTTCATTTACACACATATTAATCAATTAACTTGATAACTCCCCGAGGAAGAGATGTTGAAAGACAATCGGTTAATAAACTATGAGATGCTTCTAGTTTTGGGTTTTTACAAACTCAGTTATGTTGCTGTCAAAATGACAGGAATTTTCTGTCTCAGTGAACCAATTGTGAGAATCGAAGCAATTATAAACGCCTCCAGTCAGGTAGACGCTCGTCTCTGAAGTTAATTTGCCTTATCTCCTCCCCCCTCCACGCTCCAAGTCACCAACTGTAATAAACAATAATTAAGTTCGAATGTTTACCACAGGCGAAAGCAACGGATAACTTAAATACGTTTCGCTGAGTATATTGCCGCCCCTTATCAGGGGATTATGTTGTTGAAACGTTTATTAATCCTCGGGATTACAACACGCACTGTAGTATTTCCTTGAAATAATCAGTGTGACTCTATCAAACTATATTTATGCATTCCTACCTCGATGAGGTCCACTCTCCCGCTATATTCGGGGCACCTTGTGCACGGCTTCGTAATCCAAGGCTGTGGTATATGTACTGAACGATGTTAAGGCAATTGTCTTTACTAGCTTCGCATCTTGACAGCACTATATATAGTACATACAGAAAAAACAGAGCAAGGCTTTAGATTCCTATTTAAGACACAACATTTTGCAGATCTGTAGCAGCTGTGTTGACCAACAATACCCTGAGCAAAGGCAAATTGTGGTTAATTTGAAGTTACAGTAGAACGAAAACGAGTAATAAATACCTACCTAGTAACATCCAAATAAAAGCTAAGGTAAGGCGAACCCTTGTTGCATCCATGACGTTTGCAAACTTGTATCTCTCTCAAGTCTTAAATCTAACTCTAACGCCACCTCCACTTGATGCTTTCCTTCTTGGCTTTACTTGATTTCTGTTCCGAGGAAGGAAGAAAACGGGTATTTATGTTAAGAGGTCACTTGCGGATTCCTGTTGGTAGCCAAAACTTGCAAGATTCTTAAAATCGCATCGAGATTAGTCTGAAGCATGCACTTTGTCAAGAAGTGAAGTTATTTTGTATTGGCTCGCCGCTAAGCTAATTATCTCATGAAGTGATCTTTTTGTGTCATAGCAATGCCTGATCATGTCTCAATGTGTGCCCTCCAGGTCAGTTTTATTTAGTGTGTCATGCATTCTCAACCTCTATGTCCGTAAAGGAATAATTATTTTGAAACGCAATCTCTTTCCCACTAAAACACATTGTTTTCTTTCATAATCGTTGGGTAAAACCCACAGGTTCATTAGGGAGTTCTCGTTTGAAGATTTTAACTTTGAGTGCTCGTGCGTCTGAACAGCCTCTGATTTTTTTAATCTGGGATATCTTTTCATGGATATCATTTAAAAAGAACATGAAAGAATGACCGAAAAAAGGATTAATGAACAAGTGTGCGAGCACTCTTCGTTTTTTTATCAATACAGATGTATATGAAATTAAAAAAAAAAATCATAAAAAGGCACACTTGAAGTAAGTTGGAATCAGAGATAGCACATTTTTATCATCTATAATGACAAACAGAATAATTGAAGGTAAATACAAATAGTTAAGGCTTGAAAGTTACTAACTATAATAAAACAACGAAATTTTACCGTTGACAATATTTTAGAATCTTAAAGAATGATTTAAAACTAATTACCCCACTAATGGCGTGGATTACTCAGTTGCCTTGGTCACGAAACCTAACCACATCCGCTCACAGATGAAGCAGACAAGTTTAGGAAAGCGTGGCATGTGGTGAATGCTTTTATGTTCATTTAACGATTTGTTTTTACCAGATTGCTCACATGTCACGCTTTAGAAGACGAAATTAGAGCCTTACATCGCGTATGACGCGCCCTTATTTTTTATAGGTTTAGTCATTAGCACTTGGGTTATGCTGTAACTGTCAAAAACTCTGTTATGTTTTCCAGTCCCAGAAAACAATCCTCCCTCTTAAAAGGGTGTAAGTTTCATCTAGTATTTAGAACTGTTTATCTGCATTAAAGATCCTCTGCCTCAGATATTTGATGCTTCCTTTCTAGATGCCCTATTACTTAAGGTTCTCGTGACCATGAAGTGCTTGAAAAATTACCAGCCGTAACGGAATGTTTCCAAGTGATTGAGTGCTGGAAAGAACTTAAGGATTTAAATGAAAAAGGAAAGGATTCAAATGAAAACTTCCCGGGTTTTCCTTTGGCAGAAATGATGTATGCAGTTTATATAACAGGAGTTTGAAAAATTTCAATGAGAAGAGAGAAGAACAAAGGAGCACAAGTTTCCAAAACCATAGTCTCGTTTGACATATTCAACTTTCTGTTTTTTTTGCCACTTGAAATTTTTGTCTGAGATAATTCCAGAGGACATACAAGTAATTTTTGGAAAGACAATGATTTCTAGTCATGTCATGCTAGTCAGGTCAGTAAGAATTGTAGCATTCAAGGAACGCCGCGATTCTCCTAAATTTTGACGTTTGTCGTATTACCTTTCTTTACTTAAGATTCCTCGCATTTCTTAGAATTCGAGAAGAGATGTTTAGTTTGTTTAAAAGGAGCGGACCTAACTTCTATTTTCGAGCCATTTGACTCAAAGTTTACCTAAGTATACCAATTTAAACAAAGTATATTTGTGGATCCTTTTGGAGAAAATGTGTTCTGCTGCCTGAATATAAGACACGGGGCAAAAGTCAACCCATCAGCACACAGATAATATTTCACTTCAAGACGTGTTTGTCAAAGATATCACAAGGGGCAATTTGTTCTTTATAAGACCAGCTTTATAAACGCCGCGTGAACAATTTGGGTCGTGAGATCAAAACACGAAAAATCAATCAAACCGATATGCAAATTTGAAGTTGTCCATTTTAGGTATGGATTACCTGGCGGTAAATACGAGCTTAGCTGCCGAAATTTATTTTCCTGCGATGACGGGCAAGGAAGCTTCTCTCACATGTATGTCTTCTTCTGCTTCTTTTCCGTAGAATATTTAAGGAAAAGGGGAGGTAATTCGGCTTTTTTGCAAGAATTGGAGATTACTCATTCGCAATCCAAACCAGCGCTTTTAGACCCTCACACTCTGCCTGATGCTGCTGTTGCTATTTTTAGTCTAATCTAAAAATTATGGGAAATCTGTCAATTCAATCTTGTGTTCATGAATACAAAAACAATATGAGCATATCTAACATACGTCAGGTTAACCGTAATGTGATCCTGCTGGAAATGATTCAACGTACGGATGAAATCAACATTCTTATTAGACGAATTATTAGTTTTTTTGGAGCGATGTTTTTGGTGATGATTTCCACAGTAATAATATCTCTTTTACCAATGTCAGATTAGGTAAAATTATGCTCGTCTCTTTTCCCTCTTTGAACAAAACAGAAAGAAAATAACAGTCTAATTGTCTCATCGTTGCATCATATCTATAGACAATGTAGACTGTGGAGGTTATAAGTCACGAGGTTCTAAAGAATGGAACTCAGACAGTTGAAAACAACAAAACAAACAAATCTTTACACAAATAACTAGTTCCAAAAAAGGAGCAGTTCTCAGCAGGCCAGTGGTGAACCATGATAGTATGACAATATCATGAGCTCACTACAGCGTTTGAACCCAGAAGCGCAAACTGTACCTTGCATGATCAGAAAAATCGACAAATTTTCATTCGATGTTTTTACCTGTTCTTAACGCTTCGATCTGCTCCAAAAAGACCCTGAAAATGTCACCCAGCTTTAAAATTCTTTCCAACCGTCCTAGAATACTATTTAGCAACTAACCTGCTGCGATTGTAAGGCTGCAGGACAGCAGTTTATACTAACACTTTGAGACAACCAGGCCATCTAATCTTCCACAACGATGTGGGATTTTATGGTATCACAACTGGAAAACACATTAAGACATGTACCGAAAGAAACTCATTATATATTTGATGGCGAATTCGGCTGGCTCTCCTTTAACTAGCGGATGTATTTATCCAAGCGGCACGCAAGCTGATTTAGGAAATATTTCTCACATGTGTACGAAACATCGCCTGGAATTGCCAAATTTAAGGGAATAAGTACTTGCTTTTGATTTCGCCTGTCGATTCAATTTCCTTTTTAGTCGACAGAAAAACAGGAAAGAGATTAATCACAACGAAAAAAGCTAAAACAAAGTTATTGGCTCTCCGTTAATCTCTTTGTGACAACGATGTTAGAAATTCCTAGGAATCATTCAGTTTTAAGACAAATGTTTAAAATCATTTTCCGGTCACGTCGTTTCGAACCTTTCTATTAAAGCAAAAACAACTGAGGTTAAGTGACTACCTCGAATTCACCCTTTACTAATGCGTACACACAAAAACTAAATAGCACTTTGCGTTTTTTAATTACCGGATTTATACAATGAAGAAACACCTACCTTTCCTGAGAAATGTAATCTTGAATATTTTACCGAATCATTTTCACGGTTTCGATGAAGAGCAAAGCTGATCAACCAAATGAGTAGCACGATAGGAAAGTAGTCATTCGGTAAAGTTGATTTCAAGTTATTAAGCTGACCAAAGTAATCTCGTTTCGATCTTTCAATTTTTGATGGAAAGAAACCTTGTGAAGAGGGATTAGTTTACTGTTACTTACGACAAACGAAATGCTCAAGTACCATTTCCTGCCACTCAGATCACGCCTGAAAAAAGCATCTCAAAGCTGAGTTTTATGAACATATAAGTCATATCTGACAAAGGCAGGAAAATTTGAAACAATGCAAGTTAATTTAAGAGCGAAGAAATGTATTTCCTAAGAATTCAAAATTCCAATATTCGTTCTTATCAAGACCCAAAAAATAAGGAAGTTTTGCTGGCTATTCTCTTATCGAGTTTCAATGCGAGACCGCAAAATTTCAATAAACTTGGCAATAAAACGAATTTCACTTATTTCAAATTTGTTTCCTTGCGGCAGAATTGCTCGGAGTCAAACTGTCTGCTCCATTCTTTAAAACCGCATTAATCCTGACATGTTTACATTTCGATTCTTAGTCGCTGACACAATGAATCATTTGATCCATGTCTAAATCAGTTATGAAGAAACACCAATATTGAGAAATTTAATTTTCCATTAAAATCAGATATGGTAAGGCAAATTTCCACCAAACACGAATTAGCATCCGGTAGAGAGCTGAAGTATATTGGTTTATGCCAAACGTACTTAAATCTCGTTAACGCTGTAAACACGGCGTTTTAACCCCTGACTTTTCGCCAATCGACTCCAGATAGTCGCATTTTGGCGGCAAATAGAAATCGCCCCTTAAAAAGGCATTTTATCATATATTGTTGGATATCCCTCCAAAGAAAATACAACGGCAAAAATAGAGGAGAATTTTAATGTTAATCATCCATGAGAACGGTCAGTGGCCATATTATTAGAAGCTTTACATCTAGGCAAAATTTTTTCATTGAATGCAGGGCGTATGAATGAAAGGAGACTTTCTATCAAATTCTTAAGTAATTTATTTTTTGTGTGTTTTGTGTGTTTTGTGTGTTTAACGTGTCTTCGTTTACAATGTTTACAGAAGTATTTTTTACTTCATGTCGATATTGAAGATCAAAAATATGTTTGACCATGCATATTAGGTCAAGGCAACCCAACGACAAGAGTTTCTCTCTGCATGGTGATGCTGAAGTATCACAGGTGAATACTCTCGCATTTGCTGGATTCGAAACAATGTCAAGTCATAGGTATTTTGTTTTTACGCATGTCAAGTCCAACTGTATGAATCTTTAGAGATGATGAAGCACAACTTTTCAATGAGAGCCACATTGAAATGGCCGTTTTTTATAGATTAACAAAATAGTTTTAAAAGCCTTATTTAAGCCAGGTATT